CATTTTGATAGGCACAATTCTCTGAATTTTGCAATGCAATTCTCCAGCCAGGTAATGTGTACAAAAACACATAGTGTGCCTATAAAAACCCACAGATCATTGAAAATAACATACCAAAATGCCTTGTATTTGGAGGAAATTATTTGCAAAAATGTGTGTGTTGGGAGAAATTGTTTGCAAAAATAGCTCGGGTTAAATGTGCTTCAGGTTGAGCATTTTCAGGTTACGCTCTGCGGCGACCCAGAAGTAATGGAACGCGTTACTTCCAGATTTCACTGCTCGCACATGCGCAGACACTCAAGATGACGCCACGCGCATGAGCAGACGCGGCGAATTGTGACCCGCGCAGACGCAGATGTGCATACGCGGATTGTGTTCACTTCAGGATGCGAATGCGGCTCCGAAACGGATCCCGTTCGCATCCAGAGGTACCACTGTATTAGGCGAAATTCTCACTGGAGTGCTGATGAATTGTCAAGAGAACTTTTAAAAAACACAAATAAATTGCAGATTGATGTGAAAATGTGAAGAAGCCAATTTATGACTGGAAAAATGAGAAACTGACATTGCAGGTTCCTCCATCCTTGGCAAAAGCCAAGTGTGCATTTCTAAAGCAGCTGATTCATAGAATCATAGAATTCTAGAGTTGGAAGGGGTCCTAGGGGTCATTTAGTCCAACCCCCTGCAATGCAGGAATCTCGGCTAAAGCATCCATGACAGGTGGCCACCCAACCTCTGCTTTAAAACCTCCTAGGAAGGAGAGTTCACCACCTTCTGAGGGAGACCATTCCACTGTTGAACAGCTCAGAAAGTTCTTCCTGATGTTTAGTTGGAATCTCCTTTCTTGCAACTTGAAGCCACTGGTTCGAGTCCTACCCTCCAGAGCAGGAGAAAACAAGCTTGCTCCATCCTACCAGGTGACAGCCCTTCAGATATTTGAAGATGGCTATCGTATCTCCTCTCAATCTCCTCTTTTCCTGGCTAAGCACACCCAGCTCCTTCAACCGCTCCTCATAAGGCTTGATTCACGCCACAGTTTCTCAGGCATTCTAATATTTTTATTTTTAATCATTTTATATTTTTAAAGAACATTACTGCATTTAAACTCGATGGAGGAAAACTAGTTTTAAGCATGTAACAGCCCACATAAATTAAGAAATCTACAAGACGATTACAATCACATGTATTTGTTTCAATTTATGGTACAGGCTGACGTTTAATATCTGGTGCTGAGGATGCGTTTTTTTAAGGGCAAGAGGAAAAGAGAAAGTGCTAGCACTCGCCGGTAAAAATATCTAAAGCGCTCGTCAAGAAATCCCCCAAATGTGAGGATTTATTTGCTGTGTTTATATCCCACTTCTTAACCAAAAACGACTGCCAAACAAGCTACCATTTTAAAAGGTACAAAAATGCAGTCTCATCTAAGAACCTGAGTATATAAGTCAACCATACCAAAAAGTACAGATAAAGGATAAATTTTATTCAGTTCATATTTAAAGGCAAAACCAGCCTCCTTTTTTACTTTACAATACAATAAGCAAACTGAATCTCAGTCATACTTCGAAACTTGCACTTCTCCAAATTTTGCAAATTTCTCTATCCAAGTGATGTATGTACTGGAGTAAAATATGCATAACAATGCATGATTCACAAATGTACAAAAAATGGGAAATTGCACACAAATGTCTATATTAAGAGAAATTTGCACTGAAATGCTGATGAATTTTTACAAATGTGCCATGTGGAGAGAAAAACACAATGAGAAAAACACACCCTTGCGAAAAAGGCAAAAGCAATAGCGTTCTCTTTTCCACAGGAAAGGGCACGTTCCATAGTGCTGGTGGGGTAAAATATCCAAAATAAACAATTTCAGACATTTCCTTATAACTTTGTGACTTCTATAATAACATATCAGCCACAGTCCATACAGCAAAGTAACAATTCTTACTGTAACAAATGTAAGCCAAAACCGCAGTCCACTAATATATTTAGTATGTGCTAAATTACTTCCCATTACACAATTTCCTCCAGATGGAAATATTTTGCTTTTAAGAGAAAATATTAGCTAAAATTCAAATACCTGATAATTGTATGTTGCTCTTGTTTCAAAACTTACCTTGATGATAAGACAAGGGTAATATTTAAATGCTGAATACATGTTTTTATTAAATGCCACAGGGTTTTGTGTGTGTGTGTGTGTGTTTTTAAAGAAACAATACAAGTATTTGTTCTGGCTGTCCCCCACCTCCTCCCCAAGCTCATCTATTTTTATTTAAAGAAACTTGCTGAGTGCCCCCCAATTTTTCACATTTCCGAAAATGATGTTTTCACACCCGGTTTTCCAATTTGTGCGAGAATAAGGAGAGCGCATAAACACCTATCAATGGCGTTGTTAAGTTCCCGATTCTTTCAGATTTCTTCCCACCAATTTGTCTGAAAAACAGGTATTTGCAAACACGGGTAGCCTCATTTCTTCGGGTCCTTTCATTTTTCATGAAGTGTTTTCAAAAGACTTCAATCAGCCTTAATGGTGCATTTTTAGTTAAGGAAACAAAATGGGAGAGAAGTCAATTTAAGCTCCCTGATGAACAAGTGTCTGGAGAAGGGGAGGGGGAGAGAGAGAGAGAAAGAGAGAGGGATAAATGGGTTTAGAAAACGCAGCCAAGACAAGTAATACGCTGTTGAGCAGAGCACTCAGGGAAGCAGAGATACAATGGAAAGAGTAAAATACTGCAGAGGCTTTTTAAACTACTGACAATTGGAACAATAGGCTGGGCCGAGACATCTGTGTTAAACTGTGCGGAGGAAGGTGAAAAGGAAGCTGGGGACTATAAAAAGAGTCTCAAAACATCAGAATGAAGGGCCTTCAAGCAGCAGCCAAATGAATGCGCAGGGTGGCTGGCGAGGCTAGAAATCAAAATTGGCATAGTTTGCGGTTTAATTCACTTTGGAAGGGATTGTCTCCTTTCTTTTTTAAAAAAGAGAGAGAGATCCTAACCAGCATTATTTTGAATGGCTTCCTTTATCCCTTCCCTGGAATAAATAACCCAATTTTTATGGCCCCCTGTTTTCCACCTGCGGAGCTTTAAAAACCCTGGGATTATTAGGCAATGCTGCTTCTGCAGAAATGAAATCTCTCGGCTGCATAAGCAGCGTGCTCGGCGTTGCCAGCAGGGGGGTTGCGACAGGGGCGCTGCAGGCAAAGGACACGATCCGGCAAGGAGGCCTCCTGCACCAGTTTGTTTCCGAAAGGGCTGTGCAGGAGATGTTTCTCCCGGACTGTGCTCCAGAGTAAGCCGTCTTCTCCCTTGTGAGCACAATTCCCTTTGCGACCCAGAACTTTGCAAGCCTTCGTTGTGTGACTCCTCCACGAGAGACGCAACACGAGAACAGGGCTTTTCTGTAGTGGCCCCCTGTTTGTGGAACGCTCTCCCCAGGCCTTCATTATACACCTTTAGGCACCAGGCAAAAACTTTCCTCTTTAACCAGGCCTTTGGCTGACTGACATCCAGTGCCCTTTTAATATTTGCTGGGGTGGTGGTGGTGGTATGTGTTACTGGGTTGGTTTTTGTTTTTATTACGTATGTTGTGTTTGTGATTTTATGTTGTAACCGTCCTGAGACCTGTGGGAATAGGGTGAGATACAAATTTAATCAATCATAATAATCAATCATAATAACAACAACTGTGGTCGAGAGATGCAACCCTTTTGTATGGATTCCTCTGTTGAGAGAAAGGATCAACACCTTCTAACACCAGGGCCTTCCCAGTGGTGGCTTCCCTCTGATGGAGACCTCATTAATCTGCCCCCTTGCTGTTTTAAATATATGTGCACTGTTTGTTCATGTGTGAAGGGTGTCTGGGTCGATGGCAAAATAAAACCTCTCGACTTCTTGGTGTCTTCACGCTTAACCTGGTTGCAATATAATCCCACTGTGCCCCTCTTGTGAGCATTGCTGTGTGGGACTGAACTGGACACAAGACCCAATGAGACTTCCCTAGACTTCTTTGCAATAATTCTAAGACCACTTTTGTGCTTTTATTCCCCCTTCTCCTGTTTACAGTCCCTTATTAATTCAGCAAGGTTTACATACACTATTCTAATGATGGTTGAATGTTACATTTTTGATGTAGGTTGCTTATTTTAAAGTTATGTTTTATTATCACATTTTTGTACTGCATTGATTGTTATAAGACGTACATTCCTTGTTTCTGCAGCTTGTAAACCGGCTTGAGTATTGTAAATTAGAAAGATGGTATACAAATTAAAAGTGATGATGATGATGATACTGCTTAATCAAAATAATGGGCAGTATCCAATTCAAGTGTCACATCAGTGCAAGGATTTCGGCTCATGCCTAAATCCTCTCGCCCTTCTTTGCATGTGTCCCATCCCCCCCCAAACCCAGCTCTGGAGGGTTGGGGAAACCCCCTAGAACAGACTTAGGGGCATCGCAGGGGGAGGGGGAATGGAACCGGGGGGGTTTTTCAGCTGGAAAAAAAATGGTGCTCAGGTGGGCGCCATTGCCATTCTAAGAGAATGAGGGGGGGTGGTGTTCACAACATCTCTTTTTCTTGAAAAATAGCACTGTGGGACCCTCCATTGTGCAAATGTAAATCCTTGCACTGATGGATTTACATAGCTGGATACCTACCCAACACCTCTAAGCAGTTATGTAATAGTGAATCCCTGTTTTTTTAAAAATAGTATTTTAACAGGTTTAAAAAATAGCAGACAAGCTATCAAACTACAGATAAAATCAACAGTTTCATAGCAATAAAATTACATGTCTCCAGTAGGCTTGCTTTAATAATAATAATAATAATAATAATAATAATAATAATAATAATTTATTTAGACCCCACCCATCTGGCTGGGTTTCCCCAGCCACTCTGGGCGGTTTCCAACAAAACACTAAAATACAATAACCTATTAAACATTAAACAAAAAACTGCCCTTCTGATACAAAAGAAAGAGAAAAGGAACACACACAGAGACTCACTCTTCAGTCATGAACAGGGCCAAATAAAATTTGGTTGCCCCGCAAAGCATCTAGTTTGTCCCTTGGAAAGCCAGCAGAACCTCCTATTCTGTGCTGCCTTTTAAGCTGCCAGGTTCAGACTTCGCATGCATCACAGGGAAGGACGGGGTAGAATCTCGATTCAGGTTGTATTTGAAGGTGAGCCTAACTAATATGCAATTTCTTATACGGTATGTGAACTGAACAATGTGCACTTTTCCAAATCTTGCAGTCCAGTCCCCAGCCAAGTTCTGTGTACAGAGGTACATATAATAGGGTAAAACACATGGGTGAAAATGCATTTATTAGTGAAAATAATATACAAGATTGCATTATATTAGGGAGAATTGCTTCGCAGAAATGTGCAGATGTGGCAAAATTGCATGCCGTGTATATTGAGAGAAAGTCACACTAAAATGGCAGATTTTCATGATGAGGACTTTGGGAGGAGGGGAATCAGCAAATGGAAATGTGAACATAACTCTAGATTGGAAAAATTAGATGCTGAGGGAAACCAAAATTGGCAGGTTGACCCATCTTTAATCAGCATATTGGTTTTTAACCTGTTTCAATGTTTTCCCCAGTTGATGTTGGCTTTCCAATCTGAGGGTTAGTTAGCTAGATTCCATTTATGAATTGCTTCCCACCAAATATCTCACAGGAAAATTAAAATTAACAGGGTGGGGGGCATTTCGAAAGAAAAATCCATATGGAAAAAAAAATCCCATACATAAAAGCCACTCTATAAATATAGAACCAATTAAAAACAACTCCACACATAACGACAATTTGGAACGGGGGTGGGGTGGGTGGGCATTTCAAATCCAATGCAGATGCAAATTAGGATAAGAATGTCCCTTTAAAAGGCTTATATTAGGCTTGCAACGTGCTGCTCTGGGAATTGGTAAGGACGAAAAGTGCCATGAATAGAAATAATGATAAATAATAAGTAATAAACATCTTTTCACAATAGTTAGCTGCTGTTTCATAAGCCGATTTTAAAATTTCAATATGGCTTTTATTGCATGGTTTATATAAATATTTATGGAAAGAAACAGAAGACCAGTTCTGTGTTGTGCCTCGACAACTGGCTGTATTAGCTGAACAGAAGCTTTCCTGCTTGCCTACAGCTCACTGCAATTCTTTTCAAAGTCCACCTGACACTCAGAGCCCAGCCCTTATTGCTGCTGCAGAGCCAAGATTTTCTAAAGTACGCTGGCAGAGAAGAGCCTTAAAACCCACCAGCGCAGCCCTCATTATTCTTTCAGCATGCATGTCGGCGAGATGAGGAATTAAAAGCGAAAATCACTGTAACTCCAAAAGAACATCTGACTCGCAGAGCTACAGAAGGCATGTTTTCTCTCTCTCCCTCTCTTGATCCTCTGCGTGATCCGTAAAGGAGGATTCCACCCCCCTAAAAAACAATTAATTTGGTTGCCCAAAACCTTCTTAAATCTAAGGAGATTTAAAGGAGCAGGAGGGGGGGGTGAGTAGAGAAATAAAATAAAACCTCTCATCCTCTTGGGGGTCTTTGTGGGCAACCTGATTGCAAGATAATTCCATCGTACGCCGGTTATACAGACTGCTATGTGGTACATAATTGGACTGTTAAGACAAATGGAAAGACCCAACCAATCTCCCCAAAACCTCTTTGCATTAATTCTGCTGCCATCGTGGTGCCTTTAATGTCTTCCCTCATTACTTTCTCTTCAAGAAAGAACCAAAAAACACCTTATGTATATGTAATTATTTGGATTTTGTTCCTTCGTTTTAACACCAAGGTATTTTGCTAAGCTTGGAGATGGAAATGTAGACTACATATACAACCCGTTGCTGGGCGAAATTTCTGGATGCCGTAGGAAGACAATTAAGGTGACCTCTTGCCTTTGTGTCTAGGCGCTGAGAAACATATGGTGATACAGTGGTAGCTCAGGTTACAGACGCTTCAGGTTACAGACTCCGCTAACCCAGAAATAGTACCTCAGGTTAAGAACTTTGCTTCAGGATGAGAACAGAAATCGTGCGGCGGCAGTGGCAGCGGGAGGCCCCATTAGCTAAAGTGGGACCTCAGGTTAAGAACAGTTTCAGGTTAAGAACGGACCTCCAGAACGAATTAAGTTCTTAACACGAGGTACCATTGTACACTGAAACAGAAGGGTCTGGTGACTTCTGTTTCAGTGTATCTGAAGAAGTGTGAATGCATACGAAAGCTCATACCAATAACAAACTTAGTTGGTCTCTAAGGTGCTACTAGAAGGAATTTTTTTATTTTGTTTCGACCCCTGGATGGTTAAGTCCAGTCAAAGGCGACTATGGGGTTGCAGTGCTCATCTCACTTTCAGGCCAAAGGAGCCAGCGTTCGTCCACAGACAGCTTTCTGGGTCATGTGGCCAGCAGGACTAAACCGCTTCTGGCGCAAGGGAACAATGTGATGGAAACCAGAGCGCATGGAAACACAGTTTACCTTCCCGCAGGAGTGGTACCTATTTATCTACTTGCACTGGTGTGCTTTCGAACTGCTAGGTTGGCAGGAGCTGGGACCGAGCAACGGGAGCTCACCCCTTCGCGGGGATTTGATCCGCCGACCTTCCGATTGCCATGCCCAAGAGGCTCGGGGGTTTAGACCACAGCGCCACCTGCGTCCCTAATTTTGCCTAAACCCCCTTTAAAGCTGTCAAAGTGGGCGGCCACCACTCTGTCTGGTGGTGGGTAGTTCCACAGCCATGCCCTGTGTGAAGAATGATCCCCCTTGTCTTCCTCCACACTCCATTCACCTCCATTGAACGCCCTCTGTCGTGGAAGAGGAAGAGGAAGACAACTGACTCTCTATCAGCTTTGTACATGCCATGAATAACTTTCCACACCTCTGGCATGTCTCCCCATATTCGCCTTTTATTGTATCCTTTCCTCCATGGTCTAGTTTGGGGCATCAAAACTGGCTTTGGGAAGCCCCACCTTCTGAGTGGTGCAACATCCCAGTTAAAGGCCCTTTTCATGCAGCAATTTTCTCCTTCTAGGCAATGGGGTTTATCTATTGCATTTATATCATACGTTTTTTCTCTCCAGTGAGTTCTCCCTTCCTCATTTAATCCCCACAACCAACCTGCGAGGTGGGTTAGACTGAGAGGCAGGGACTGGCCCAAGCTCACCCAAGCTTCATGGCTGAGTAGGGATTTCCACCCTGGTCTCGCAGGTCCTTTTCCAATACTCTATAAACCACCACATTGGCTATTTAGGGCTCTGGGAACTTGACCTGTGGAAGCTCTGCGGAGGGTTCTGGATGCTCAGAGGAGTCGGCTGTCCCTTCAGAAGTGCATCTTTTCTTTTCTTTTCAGATAATCTTTATTGGTTTTTCAGTTACATACTCCACATACACATACTGTATCACATTTTACATTTATACTTGCTCCCAGGAGCTGACTTCCCCCCTTCCTTCTTCTGGCTTTTTTATATCACCTCTAAATTTTTCGCATTGTCTTTATCCATTTTGTATGTTGCTGTTCTTCCACATTTGCCCATAAAATGTCTATAAACAAATAAATCCTTCTATATATACTGTACAATTCTTGTTGTCTATGTTCATTTACAACTGCTATTAGTTACATTGGTCACATTGTACATTTTACTGCAGGACTTGACATCTTTCCGCAGGGCCTGCAAGACGGAGCTGTTCTGCCAGGCCTTTGGTCGGGGTTCAGTCTGACTCCCTCTCCCCTTTCATAAGAACTTGCATGAAAGTGGCCTCCCAATTTTTCTCACAGGCCCATATAAGTTCAGCACAAACAGTTGGGCCTGGTGAGCATTGAAGGTCCCCAACCCTAATCTGCGGGTTGCCATCCGATTGGATTTTATTCTGATCCTGATCTGATTTGAGGATGTTTTTTAATTGATTGTCTGATTTTATGTTAATGTGTTATACATTTGATGTTAGCCGCTCTGAGCCCGGCTTCGGCTGGGGAGGGCGGGATATAAATAAAAATTATTGTTGTTGTTGTTGTTGTTGTTGTTTTTATCATCCAGTAAATTTATTTGTATTTTACATTATAAGGTTTGCTTCAGTTCTACTGATTTCACTATTTCACCTTATCTTTCCTATGTACGACATAAAATTTTGCCCATTCTTTTTGAAATGTTTCATCGCCCTGTTGTCGAATTTCCCCCGTTAATTTAGCTATTTCTAAATAAAAAGAGGACAAAAATCTGTTTCTATATGCCACAACGGCAGCTAGAACTATGTTAGCCCAAAGCTGGAAAACGGAATTAATACCTACTATAAATGACTGGCAGATCAAGATGATAAATTATGCTGAACTAGCTAGAATAACAGGAAGACTAAGAGACCAGGATGACCAGAAGTTTCATGAAAATTGGAACAAATATCTGATGTATATAAGAGACAAATATAGAACTTTGATGACTTTGGCAGGTTAGAATAACTCTAACAGTGTTTGGCAAATATGTAAAGGAGATAAAACACGTAACTTTAGACATTATCTGATACTTACCAATGAAGTGAAGGGAAGTCAGAGGCTCGGCGGAGCCCAAAATAACTGTGTACTATATATATGATTTTTGTAACAGCTATGTTATATGCAACTTATGCAATCTAGACTGTATATATGTATAATCAATGGAAAACTAATAAAGATTTATAATGTAAAAAAAAAAATTAGCTATTTCTGCATATTCCATTACCTTCTGCTGCTGTTCTTTTACTGTTGGCAACTGCTGGTTTGGAATCAGAAGTGCATCTTTGACATTCCGGGGGCTAGTTTCAGGATCTGGTGTTGCTGCTTCCTTGCTCTAAAAGCAAAACATTTTGGATGTAAGAATCAAGTGGGTGTCCTGATCTGCTGGGGCTCATGACTTTTAGAGGAATTGGTTGCAGACTTACTTAGGGAAGGTTCTACACTTAAGCAGGAAGAACCAGCTGCACAAATATAAGACGGAGGACACCTGGCTTGCCAGTAGTACCTGTGAAAAGGATCCAGGGGTCTTAGTAGATCACAAGCTTAACGTGAGTCAACTGTGTGATGCAGCAGCAAAAAAGCTAATACTATTCTAGGCTGCATCAATGGAAGTATCGTGTCCAGATTAAGGAAAGTAATGGTGCTGCTCTATTCTGCCTTGGTCAGACCACACCTGGAATACTGTGTCCAGTTCTGGGCACCACAATTTAAGAAGGATATTGACAAGCTGGAATATGTGCAGAGGAGGGCAACCAAGATGATCAAGGGTCTGGTAACCAAGCCTTATGAGGACTGGTTGAGGGGATTGGGTATGTTTAGCCTGGAATAGAGGAGACTCAGAGGAGATATGATAGCCATCTTCAAATATATGAATTGCTTCCACATGGAGGATGGAGCAAGCTTGTTTTCTCCTTCTCTGGAGGGTGGGACCTGAACCAATGGATTCAGGTTACAAGAAAGGAGATTCCAACTAAACATCAGGAAGAACTTTCTGAAAGTAAGACCTGTGGTGGCGAGTTCTCCTTCCTTGGAGGTTTTGCAAGATCTGTCATGCAAGATCTGGTTGGGATTTCTGCATTGCAGGGGTTGGACTAGATGACCCTCGGGATCACTTCCAACTCTACTTTCTATGATTCTGTGACATCAGGTCAAGCCAAGCTCAAGAGACCATAGTAGCTGGACTTGGCAAGGTGTGTCCAGAGTCAGGCAGGCCTTTTCAGGACCACGGAGAGCTCCCAGTAAACTGAGTTAGCTGTAGACAACCCTTTGTGGTAGAGAAATAGATATCTTGCTTCTGTTCTGTAACCCTTTGCTTCTGTGAGGTAACAGATCATTCTTAGAGTCTGAGGAAGGCAGAAGGTCTACGTCCTCAAAATGGGAAGGCCCAGAAGGAGGAGCTGAAGGTCCTACCCCAAATGAAACACCCTCTTTCTCTTGGATGATGGACTCAAGGGCATCCTGATCAAATTTGCAGATGACACCAAACTGGGAGGGGTGGCTAACATCCCAGAGGACAGGATCACACTTCAAAACAACCTTGACAGATTAGAGAACTGGGCCAAAACAAACAAGATGAACTTTACCAGGGAGAAATGTAAAGTATTGCACTTGGGCAAAAAAAATGAGAGGCACAAATACAAGATGGGGGACACCTGGCTTGAGAGCAGTACATGTGAAAAGGATCTAGGAGTCTTGGTTGACCACAAACTTGACATGAGCCAACAGTGTGACGCGGCAGCTAAAAAAGCCAATGCAATTCTGGGCTGCATCAATAGGAGTATAGCATCTAGATCAAGGGAAGTAATAGTGCCACTCTATTCTGCTCTGGTCAGACCTCACCTGGAGTACTGTGTCCAGTTCTGGGCACCACAGTTCAAGAAGGACACTGACAAACTGGAACGTGTCCAGAGGAAGGCAACCAAAATGGTCAAAGGCCTGGAAACGATGCCTTATGAGGAACGGCTAAGGGAGTGTTGGGATTCGCAGGATACTGGATAAGTCTGCAGGCTTCAACAGGATGATGCAATACTCTGCTGGGTCAGAGTGACTCAGCAGGAGTGTGATTAGTGTGATTGGCTATCACGTGTTTTAAAAGGAAAGCCTGTTTAACAGTGGGTGTAGTGGTTGTGCTGTAGTGTGGTGGTGCTGTGGTGGAGAGTATTCGTTTGTAAGTACTCTGTATGGACTGTTTCTTTTGTAAATGCCTGTATATAGCTCACATTAAAAAAGACTGCACTGGAAAAACCTGGATGTACTAGATGTACTAGATGACATACCCTATAAAACCTGGATGTACTAGATGACATACCCTATAAAATTCTCTATAACAAAAGTCCCAGTTTGCAACATTTGAGAATCTTTGGGACAAAGGCATGGGTTGACATACCTGTAAAAAACCGAAGAAAAGGTGGGAAAAGGGCACATCAGTTGCTATTTCTTGGGTATGAAAGTGGTACGAAAGCCTATAGGTTTGAAGATGATAAAAATCTTTTGAGTTATAGTCGATCAGCCAGCTTTAATGAGCAAAGAAATTGGCCCAAGATACATGCAAACCTGCTGCCAGAAAAAGTTTTACTGCCGAGCATACCTGATAAGGCAGTTGAAACAAAGCTAAGAATTGGCAGCTCTCCCAGAGAAACTGAAAGGGAGGAGGTAAAGGTTGAGCATTTTTCTCCAGCTGCTAGCATGGAGCAGGGGAGAGAAGAAAGTGCAACAGGGACAGGAGGAGGTAGATCTACAGAGTCAATCCACCCCAAAAGCAGTCCTGAAGGTAGCCCAGGGGGTGAGATTAATGAACCAAGGAGGTCTGCAAGAAGTAATAAAGGTCAACCTCCAGACCGTTATGGGTTCCCAGCCACCATAAACCAGGTTTGTGTAACTGAGCCAGAAAACTTTGAAGAAGTGCAAGAGTTACCTACTCTAGAGAAAGAGGTGTGGTTAAAGGCAATGCAGGCAGAGTATAACTCTCTGCTAAACAACAATGTGTTTGTACCTACAGAATTGCCTAAAGGTAAAAAGCCCATAAGCTGTAAGTGGGTTTTTAAAGTGAAAAAGCTGGCTGACGGTAGTTGTCAGAGGAAAGCCAGGTTGGTTGCAAGGGGCTTTACACAAAGGAAAATGATACATTATGATGAAGTGTTTGCCCCAACAGCAAAGGCTGAAACAGTAAAATCAGTTTTAGCAATGGCAAGTCTGAGAGGGTTAAAAGTTAATCATTTTGATGTTGCCTCAGCATATTTAAATGCTCCTATTGACGCTGAGGTGTATTTACAGCAAATACCAGGTTATGAGCTGGAAAAAGACAGCATGGTGTTAAAACTGCAAAGGGCACTATACGGTCTACACCAAAGTGCACGTCTATGGCATGAATGCATAGACACAACTTTGAAAAAGATGGGATTCAAACAAAGCCTGGCTGATTCCTGTTTATATTCAGCAATGGTGCAAGGAAGTGTTTGTTATTTACTTTTGTACGTTGATGATATCTGTCTAATAACAACTGCACAAAAGCAAGTGTCTTGGTTTATAAACAGCCTAGGTAACAAATACAAACTGAAGTATTTGGGAGAGATTCAGAATTACTTAGGAGTAGAGGTTCAGAGAAATGAAAAGGGCGTCTACTCTCTGAGTCAGAAGGAAAAAATCGAAAAGTTACTGAGAACATATGGAATGGAGAGGGCAAATGAGGTTGACACTCCCATAACTACCCAGTACAAAAATGAACCAGAAGGGCAAAAATGTGAGAATGCAACAGCGTTTCATTCTCTGTTGGGTTCTCTGTTATATTTAAGTTGTTGGACAAGACCCGACATAACATTGGCAGTGCACATGTTAAGCCAAAGAAGTGCAGACCTGGCTCAGAGAGATTGGGTAGCACTTAAAAGAATCCTAAGGTATCTGAAAGGCACAAAAGATTACAAACTGGTGCTGGATACAGGATATGATCAGCAAGTGTATGCATACGCTGATGCCAGCTGGGGGGACAGAGAAAATGGAAAGTCTACCACTGGCTATGCCATATATATTGGAAATGCCCTGGTTCAGTGGAAATCCCAGAAACAAACATTTGTTGCCACAAGTACTTGTGAAGCAGAGTACTCAGCCATAAGCGAATGTGTATCACAAATAGAATGGTTTGCTTGCCTAACAAAAGAGCTTGGAATACCTTCTGAAATGCCAATCACTGTGCTAAGTGACAACATGGCTGCACAACAGCTTGCCAACCAACAGAACTTTAAGAGCAAGAGTAAACATATTGCTATAAGATACGGAAATGTGAAAAATGCTTTGGAAAGAAATGTGTTAAAGGTACAGCACTGTAACACAAAATGTAATGTGGCAGATTTGTATACAAAATGTTTGGATGCTCCTAAATTTCGAGACTTAAGAGAATTATTAGGTCTCAAGCCTTTGACTTAAGGAGGAGTGTTGGGATTCGCAGGATACTGGATAAGTCTGCAGGCTTCAACAGGATGATGCAATACTCTGCTGGGTCAGAGTGACTCAGCAGGAGTGTGATTAGTGTGATTGGCTATCACCTGTTTTAAAAGGAAAGCCTGTTTAACAGTGGGTGTGGTGGTTGTGCTGTAGTGTGGTGGTGCTGTGGTGGAGAGTATTCGTTTGTAAGTACTCTGTATGGACTGTTTCTTTTGTAAATGCCTGTATATAGCTCACATTAAAAAAGACTGCACTGGAAAAACCTGGAACTCTTAGTGTCTCGCTGAAAGCGCCGCATGGAATACGCGACAGGGAGCTGGGCATGTTTAGCCTGGAGAAGAGGAGGTTAAGGGGTGATATGATAGCCATGTTCAAATATATAAAAGGATGTCATATAGAGGAGGGAGAAAGGTTGTTTTCTGCTACTCCAGAGAAGCAGACACGGAGCAATGGATCCAAACTACAAGAAAGAAGATTCCACCTAAACATTAGGAAGAACTTCCTGACGGTAAGAGCTGTTCGACAGTGGAATTTGCTGCCAAGGAGTGTGGTGGAGTCTCCTACTTTGGAGGTCTTTAAGCAGAGGCTTGACAACCATATGTCAGGAGTGCTCTGATGGTGTTTCCTGCTTGGCAGGGGGTTGGACTCGATGGCCCTTGTGGTCTCTTCCAACTCTATGCTTCTATGATTCTTCTTCATCTTGGTCTTCTTCAGGACAGCAGATGGGTTGGGCTTGGCATCATAACAGTGACTCTCTCCCATTCTAAAAAGACATTTGCATCAGCTCTCAGAAGTTTGGTGATGTTTTGGGAATTAACAATGTGCCTCTATGTGTGTGAGAGAGAGGAAACAGCAGTGGTTCTGCAGAAGTGTTGAGACTGGAATCCTTAAATAGTT